ATATATATATATATATATGCATTTATATTGGCACAAGAAAGTGCTCTATTTTTTTTTTTTTTTTATGATGACTTCACTCCAATGTAAGAGCAACTTTTTCCTGTTTTCTTAATTGTCTCCAACAATTGAGCAGATGAGAGACTCGAATTAACATACACTCGTTGCTTCTCCAGGTCAATGGAAACTGTGTTAACCCCCTGACCTGTACAAAAGTTAATATACATGGAAATAAAAAGTATATGAAACGTATAAAAATATGTATATTCCTCTCAATAATACATGTTCATGTTTTATCAAAATTTGTATAATACAAAAACAAGAACATACGTATGTCATTCAAGTATTACTTTACCCAAAATCAATTTCTACAAAATTTTATGCAACTTTTTAAACATCTGCACAATTCAGAATTATAAAATACCATTAGATTTAATATCTCATAGAAGCATGCATGTTCAACTCAATGGCCTTTAACTATACAAAGCAGAAAAGTGTTCTACATAACTTAATACACAATTACTATAATAAAAAATTCCATACTTAACATCTTAAAAACTACTTTACATTAGGGAATAAAAATTTTGTCATACGTACATTGAGAATCATAAGTTTTAATAAGGAGGTTTAGACATGATACAGTGTGTTCCAAAGCTACATTGTATCACATATTACAGCTACTTTACTCACCAACAAGCACAAATATATATGTATGATTTAACATATCTAATCATATTACACCAAACTTTAAATACAAGGTGCATCATGCCACCAGCAAAATTAAACAAGCACACATATATATATATATAATGCAATGGCCAGGAGTCAGTTACTTTTTTTTTTCACACATACACAAATTTGCATTCAGTTATACATTCTTAATTGCTTATTCATAAAATAACAGACATTTCGTTATTCTCCAACTACAGTAAGAATAAACAACATATGGATCAACCAAAAACAGCAGCCAAAACACACTGCTGAGAGCACTCTTATGAGAAACAGGGCATCATTGTTAAAAATTAGATACATTTTTGGTAACCTAATGTTCAGATAAAGTGAAATCTACTGAATGAAAACTGTATACACCAGATTTTCTCTAAATACTACAATATAAACAGATTTACATTTCAATGTAAGTGTTTAAAATTTAATAGAAGTAAGAAAAAGAGGAATGCTCATACATGTCTATAAGTTTATGAATTAAACTAGCTGGTGCAGCTGATCACCATACAGCAAAGACAGAGGATCCAAATTTGAATTCCAACCACCCTATGTCATTCCTCATTAAGTTTGGTTGAGATCAGTCAAAATCTGAAAGCATTAAATGTTGGCACAGAAGTTAACATTTTCTAACACTGAAAATGTATTTCCAATACCTACTTTGCCTACTCCTCTCACCCAAAGCATTATCAACCTTGATTTGCCCTCTAAGCATTGCTAAAATTTTCAACAGCACACCAGTCTATTATATCCCTTCATTTTTGCACCATTGCAGCAATGTGTGATGATGTGACTACCTTCCACCAATCATACTGCACCCATTAAAACTAGCAAAGGTAGCACACCCTACCATTGCAATGCAATCCTCACTTTCGAGTATTGGTAGATACAAACCATAAACACTGGCAAATCAGTGGGCAGGAAGGGTGAGAGAAGGTAAGTACCTATTAGAAATACATTTTCAGTGTTAGAAAATGTTAACTTCCGAAATGGTACTACCCTTTCTCACCCAAAGCTAGGATCTGGTATTGCAAAGGTGGTGGGGCCAGTGAATGTACAAAAGTAATTAAACAAGCGGAGAACCATGGCTGTAAGAGAACAGGTATGCTACAATTATAAAACGAAGCACACCTGTGGGTTATAGCACTACTTCTGGAACAGATATGCTTTTCGCCCAGTAACGAACAAAGTAATACATATAGGATGGAACTTAATAGACACACTATGTTATGTAAGACAGATTCCGCCCACGGACAACAGATAGTATGCAAGACATCCATATATGTACGAGCATGAGCATGTGACACAATGGTAGCTGGATTTCAAGAAGGTGCTTGGCATCTGACATAAAAATATGTGGCTCATATATGAATAGGCCAAGTGCGGTCCCTCTGGGCAAAAACAACAGTGGAAGCACCTTGCAAAAGTTTGTAGGATCGAAAAGTGTGGTCTGCCTAGGCAAAAAACATCCAGGGGAAGTGCTTTCATATATTGCCAAATGTAGTCAGCCCGGGCAAAACATCCAGTGGAAGTGCCTTGCAGGAGATCATACTTTTCAAATTTTATTTGTACTGATATTTTGATCAACAAGTGGATTCAGCCCAGGCAAAAATATTTGCGGGAAACACCTTGTGATATTGAGTATTTCAACTGCAGTCCATCTGGGCAGAAAACATCCAGTGGAAGCACCGTGCTTAAAATTGATCATTATGTATCTTGATTGTAATATAATTAGATATCAACAAGTGGAGTCTACCCGGGCAAAAAACATCTGGAAGAAGCACTTTGGATTGAGCATATTATGATAGTAAATATAACAATGATAGCCCTCTTCTCACTGAGTGGGTAGAAATGATCTATGAATTTTAATTTAGTTTATTGTACAAACCCCACTCCTGAGGATACCTCCATGGTCCACCACTCCAGCAACTGGGAACTAGAAGTGGCAAGGACTCCCGTGCTAAACTAGAAGAAAAGGAGAGGAATATGCATTGGGGAATCTGGAGGAATGAAACACTTGCGACAGTGCAATGGGTGTCTGTGATTCCCTAATGTAAGAATCATGGGTGAGTAAGGATGGGTGAAAATCCACATCTGCTTTACCCATGAAATCCATGAGTGATGGCCCTTTATATACAATACAATGATAATATATATATAAACACAAACACACACCTGAATAAGTGGCCAGTGGTCTTACAGGAACACCCCATCTCCACAGGGAGCATTATAAAAGTATATAGATTTAGTGCTACGATATAAATTTCATTATACATAACCAGGCAACTCCCACCACCACCAGGTAGGATACTCAAATATGATGTATATAAATGAAATGAAATAAAAAATAGTAATATGTCAACCTTACCTCAGTCAAAGGCAAACAGATATATGTAGAATTGCCACAGGAGGAAAATGATACCTACCCAAGGAAGACACAGGTATAATGTGCAGAGAAAGAGCAACAAATGTATTGGTAGTTGTTCACATACCAGCCTAAACGATCTCCTCCAAAAGACAGTGCTTTTGAGCAGCTCAAGACTTATTTAGATGAGAATTTGGTGTGAAGAAACATTATGTAGACAGCAACCTTCAACGGACACATCGAAATACATCAGTCGTATGAGTTGACAAACCAAACCAGTGAGTGTAATAAGTGAAAGATCACAGGAAACAGAGGAATGCCATGGAACAAATAGACAGAAACAAGACCACAAAAGAAGACAGTACAAGCCATATAACAGAGCAGGGAATGAACTGGACACTATAGATGATCCGGATCTATCTGAACGGGAGATACAGATGTGAAAAGGAAGGTAAGAAAATAGGAGAAAAGGCAAAACAACCTTCCTGAACAACCAACATCTAGGAAGGAAGGCCCAATTCATATAGCGGATAATATATAAGGAATGGTAAAATGCGGGAAACGGCAATGACATAAATATCAGAATGGCAATGACCACATGCCAGGAGGGGGAGGAATTAGGTCTGAAGAGAAAATGGTACAAGGAACACATTGCAATGGGATCATAGGGAGAACTGGACAGACTGTGAATAACAACATGGAGATCCCAATCCAGCTAAACAAAGAAACATGGCAGAAAAGGAACAGAAAAGAAGGGAAATAACTGGAGAAGAGAAGAATTTCTGGAAGTTGGAGAATGGGAGGTGTAGGACACAGCAGTTCTATAAAGAGCAACAGTTGAAACAAACAAAAAAACTTTGATCAAACAACCAGATTAAGAACAGGTACAAGTGAGGAACAGAAGGCAGGATGGTCAAAGCCATAGTAAATAGTCCAAAGCCTCTGGGACACAGACAAGGAGGAAGGGTGAATGATACAGGAAAGGAAAGACACTATACAAGAGGAGAGTCCCAGAACTGAGGTACAGGACCAGAAAAAAGTCACATGTGAAGATGGAGTGTGGCAACATTGGGATGAAAAACGTCCAATTGTGGTTGTTGGAGAATCGATCAGAACAGATAAAAGAGCATGGGCTGTTGCTACAGTAAAGGCCAGAGCAGAGGAAACCAGCAGAACACAACAAGGAGTGGTCTGGATAAGGAAAAAACCCATAAGATGAGTCTGATTTGAGGGTAAGTATATAGGTGAAAAACCACTCCAATCTTGAGCTGAGGAATGAGGAACTGGACACTAAAAAGGAGTGGGGAAAAACACACACACACACACACACACACACACATATAAATGGTATTCCCAGTGGAGATAACACCCACAGAAAAACTGATGATGAAGGGACCACTCCATGGGGAGAACCTGGTTGGGACATGATAAGCAATCGGACACAAGATTCATAACTCTGGGAACAAGACATGCCAGAACTGTCATGTTGTGGTCATTGGCCTAGTACAGGAAATCTAGAGTCTGAAAAGACAGAGATCTGGACGTGGTTCCCCCTTGCTTGGTGATAGTGCTGATGAAAGTGGAATTGTCAAAATGAACCATAATCACCCTCCCCCACAGGAATGGGAGGAAATGATACAGAGTCCGATGAACTGCCAAGAATTCCAGGATGTGGATATGAAGAATAGCTTTCTCGACTGACCACTGACCCAAACTCTCCGGGGAATCAAAGAAAGCCCCCAACTCACCAAGGAAACAATTGTGAACGAATGAGACTTGGGATCAAGTGGATAAATGGGAACTCCCACCATGTTGAAGTCCCTGTCGAGCTACCAAGCAAGGTTAGCCCTGATCCCAGGTGGAAGGGAGATGGAATGGTCCAAAGGATCGTGGGAGAAGTTCCACTGGTCGAGAAGTATCCAATGAAGGTAATGCATGTGCACCAACCCCAAGAGAATGAGAGCTTCCAAAGAAGCCCACATTCCCAAAAGAGATAGAACTTCTCATACAGAAACAGAGTAGGAGAAGGTAGAGCTATCATGACTGCTCGTTCCATACCCCTGAGCTGAAGTGGAGAGGGCTGGGCTCGACCGAGATGGGGAAGGGAAGAGAACCTTCAAATGAACAAGATACTAAAAGAGATAGTAAAGGACCTCTCAAACTTGATGAGAAACCCCACCCAAGCAACTTCTTGAAGAAGGAAGCAGGTGTGTGAGTGACTGACTGGGCACGGGAAGATGCAAGCAGAAGTCAGTCTTCCATGGACTGGAGTGTCCGAAGACCCAGCAAGTGAAGATGACGTGCAAAAGAGTGTACCATTCGATAAAACACATGTGTAGCTTAAGAAAAAAACTTGAACAGCAGTACCCAGAACTGGAAGACAGAACCTTCGTAGATGAACAAAAGAAAAATGACTTGACACTGGGGAAAAAAACAACAACAACATCTAAGTAACAGGTAGGACTCCAAACAAGTATACAGCCAGGACAGAGGTGTGATGGGATTCCAATATCCCTTGTTTTTGGAGACAACACAAAGATGGAAGTAAAATCCCGGGTGAGTGTGCACCACCTGTTCAGTAAATACTATGTGTCAAACAGACTTGGCAAGACAACTGGACAAAGTATGATCCCTAGGAGAAGGGAAGGAAATCTGGGAAGTGGATGGAGGGGGAGGGAAAGCAAAAACCCTCAGATAGAACCCGTATAACCCATGGAACTGTCGTGAAGTATAGCCAAAAAGGCACATAAACTGAACATACCTAGAGAAAGGACTTGTTACTAATGGACTAACAAAACTTAGAAACATATAGAGTCTACAAAGTACAAAAAAATAAACCTGCAAAACTATGAAATTCAACCGAAAACATTCAAAAATAAGTAACACCAAAAGTCCAAAACAACTAAACGAACTTAGAAGACAAACAACCTTTAAATATATAATACTTAAGTCCACTCAAGGAACCTATGAGACAAAGGACATGAAATTAAAACCTACCCTGAAGAATATGAGAATAAAAAGGCACCTAGTTACCAATAACAAAGTCTGATTCAAAACTAATTCCTAATTAGATGTAACTAGTAGTAAAGAACAAGGAACTTACAAATTAAATAACATTAACAGAGAAAAGAAGCAAAACTTTAAAAATAAAAGAATAATGAAACTCCAAATGCAAGTTTAAACTATAGTAACCTAGATGGTAAAAGAAGTATAAAAATCTAACTTACCCAACACTGAGCAGAGAAGATATGTATGACCTAAATTATAGAGTGTGAAAATTAGATCCATCCACAGTAGCTCACATAAATTCACTGAACATGGGTATACCTATAGGGAGTGAGAAATACACACTGAAAAACTTACCACAAATCTCCTGGGAAAAGAACAATACCCAACCCAGCAGATTACGTGGAGGCATGGTATCAGGTGGAAAATGCCAGAGAAAGACAATTTCCACAAAGTAGTTATATCCCTCTGCATAAAAAAATTTAACTTGAAAGGAAAAATTGTTTGCCAAACATAAGACACAAACTCCCCACGAACTAAAGCTTGTGCTTCCCCAGATGAGAAAATCATTGACCTTGAGACCTAGAACTAGTGTCAGAACCATTGTCTACTTATGGCAGGAATTTCATCAACCGCCATATGAAATCTCAAATTCATATGAACAAAGAAGAATTTGGAAAACAGATACATTTCTAAAACAAATAAGTAAAAACAATGGAAATGAAACACAAGAATTCAAAACTTGAAACTGATATAAATTTGTGATCAAGCACAATCAAAATTTTGTAGTCACATGGAGAACGAGTTAAAACTCACATTTAGACACTAGAATGCCAACTGACAAAGTGAGAATTGTGGTGCAATGGTAGAGGGAGCTACCTGTGCTAGTATAGATGGCACAATATGATTGGTGGAGGGTAGTCACATGATCAACACGTTGCTGCAATGGTGCAAAAATGAAGGGGTATAATAGATTGGTGCACTATTGAAAATTTTAGCAATGCTTAGTGGGCAAATCAAAGTCAAGATAGCTTTGGTTGAGGGAGGTAGTACCATTTCAGAAATGACAATTCTGCCTTCTATACATATAGAATATTACTTATAAACTTAGAACCAGATGTCTGGATATTTCTCTCTTATCTCTCCTTCTCCTACTTTCTAGATTTGTTTGTATGTCATACACATATCATATACACAGACATATGTTAGAATATGTAGCTTGAGAAAATTTATATTTTTCAATAACCTGTAAATACTGATTTTATTTACAAATGCACAAACCTCAACTTGTATGGATAAAATTCTAACAATTTAACATTAGTAACTCAATACTAAACAATAGTACCTTCTAGTTTGCCTAGAACTCTTTTAACTGCATTAGAACAGCCTTCACAAGTCATTTCCACTTGAAACTCGTAAACCTACAAAAAAAAGGTATTCACTGAAATAATGAATTTAGATAGTATGTGCATATGTGCAAACAAGTTTACACATAAAATGATACAAGTATATAGAGAGAACTATTACACATTAACAAGATAAGAAAAATGCATAAAAACTATTGTTATTATAATATTCTCAATAAATATTGTTACTGGGTTTGTGTCTGAAAATATCTTTAATAAAAATATTTTCTTTATAAATAAGAAATTAAGAAGAGAATATTTAATTAGATATATAATCATTACCAAATTGATTTATATTATTTATCTGAGTAGGTAATTTGCTCTGACAACAAATTGTTATTAATTTCTTCACAATAAACATGATGCTAATTATGAGGGAAGGCAGATAATTAGAAGAAACTAATAATAAAATAATAGTTTCACACTGTCACTGTGTACACTAAAAACCACATAAAATTCCAATGCCAAGCTATATTATTGCACTTTCACTTTAGAAACTTCCAGAGAAATTTGCTCCAATCTAATTACTGTAAATCGTAAATGGTGTTGCTGCAATCAAAACACTAATTAATCTTAAAAATGCTTACCATGTGACGGCTTTATGTGCAAAAACATGCACTGTGTACATGTGATAGATAGACCTTCAAGTTCAAATAAAAAAAAAAAAAAAGAGACTAAAAAATAAACTTATGTACAAATGTGTTTAGTCTGAAATACATAACACACATCTTATACACATACCTAAAGGAAATAACAATTCAATAAGTCAATCTGTTAGATTTCAAAACTTGCATGCATAAAAAGTTATTCATTACAAGTTAACTACTAGAATTACATTATTAAGCTTTGGTTTCTTAAAAATTCTGCCAGTCAAAAATGTTAGAAACCTGCTTAGACTGTTAAATAAATTATATATATATATACATATTTATATATTTAATAGTCTAAGCAGGCTTCTAACTTTTATGACTTGCATATATATATATATATATATATATTAATAGTTTAAGCAGGCTTCAACTTTTATGACTTGCATATATATATGCATAAAAACTCTGCTATAAGGAGTAGGACTAGCAACTAAAGGTGGCTAAAGGTCTGAAAGATTAGGCAAAAAGTAAGATCATTTTAGAAAACGTATCAAAAATTAATATTTCTAGACCAAAAATTTATAGGATATACATGTTATGTTAGAGCTAAGCAATTTAACTGATTACATATAAGCAGTTATTATATCAATTAGTATCACATAAACTAATTGATTAATTCAAATTATGATTAAAACAATTTTCACAAAAATAATCAACTAAAAGAAATTAGGGTTTCAGATTATTATCATTTTCAAATATTCAAATAATTAAAATATTCCTATTATGTTTGTTTGCTGTAAAGCAGAAAGCCACATAATGGGCTATCTGTGCTATGTCTAATTTTAGCCATATAAGTTCAAATTAAGTTTTTATTTTATTTTCATGTTGTTCAGCTCTGTTGAATTGGGATGGAACAAAGCTACTAAGAATATCTATTACTATCACTAATTAACTATTGACTAGAAGGAAGGCAACAGTCTGGCAGCACCTGCCATCAACTTTGTGTTTGTTTTCTTCTTGATTGTGTAACTAATGGGAAAGCTACCAGCTAGCAGTAGCTTCCACAATTTTTTTTTTCTGTTGACTAGATGGAAGGCAACCATCTGGCAGCACCTACCACCAACCTTTGCCTTCTTAACCAAATGTAATGGGGCCATCAGTTAATTGATTATAACAAATACCACTAGTTGCCCAGCTCTAACATTTGGACAAAAGGTGACTATATAGTTATTCAAATCTGTCTCTGCACACCCTCTCTTGAGAAAAAGTAAAGACTTAACCCCCCTTATTTTTCACAAAATAATAATTCCCCATTTAAACTCCTGTAAAGTGCAGGCCTCCACTACTACCAATAGCAACTCATTCCATAAGACATGATAACTATCTTAACTAGAACCTAGTTTACCTTTTTTTCAAACATTAATACACTGTATTGTGTTCTCTTATTCTACTGTCTTCAGAATATAGTAAAAATAATCAGAATCCTTTATACTACTTATCCACAAGACAATCTTACAAAATTATACAAGATCACTTCTTACTCTTCTTTTCTCAAAGAAAACAAATTATTACGCCTTAATCTATCTCCTTAAGATAACCCTTTCACCTCAAGAATTATCTTAGTAGCCCTCCTCTGAATCCTTTCCAATGAGACAATATCTTTTCTAAGATAAGACCAAAACTGTACAGAGTATACCAAGTAAGACTTAACATGTGATTTGTAATAAGTAAGTCTATACAATAAATTCTATTTGCCTTAAAACTAGCAATAAAGTAATGCATCAAATGTGTAAGTGAATCATTCACTGCTACTGTAAGCCAAGATTTTTCTTCAGTCACACTACTGAGTAGGTTACCACGTATCATATATTAAATGTATGATTCAAGTTATGAAAATCCAAATGCATTATTTTTCACTTACTACATTTAAAGGTTATATGCCCAACTGATTCAATTTCAAGTCATTCTGAAGTATCTCAAAATTTTCAATACACTTGCATGAAAAGCTACTTAATGCTTTTATCAATATAAAACAATAAAAAGTGAATCACTTTTATTATATATCCTCAATATATTTAGAAATACTCAAGAGTTGGATTGCAACTCCAACTTCACTAATTTTTTAATTCTGCCCCTTTCAATTGTGTTTTTTTTTTTCAATAGGTAAGAAAAATGAAAAGGCCCAAACATCGACTTCTAAATCACTCCTCTACTAACAAGGGCCCAGTTACACTGGACCTCATTAACAATTAAAGGCAATGAAAAAAGGGGCTAGTTGTGCCATCCACTAAACTTTTAAAAAAATTTAATAAAAACTCAAAGTCAGCCCTTATAATTTAAATACTTATGAAGCCTTCCCCCAAACTTACTACATCCATCACATCTGAAGGTCAACCATCCTGTTCAAAAATAAATCTGCTGCCCTACTAAAATTTATATTTGTGTTCTCACAGTTAAGGACAAAAACATGATGCCTCAAAGCTAACAATTATCTTAAGTCACATGCACCTCAACCAGATCCCTTCTAACTCTTCTTTTCTCCCAAGAAAACAATTTCAGTGATATTATCCTGTTCTTGTTTGACAACCTTTCTATCCCGGGTATCATCTTAGTAGCCCTCCTCTGAAAAATGTACAACTTACAACAAGCCCAAAACTGAACACAATACTCCAAATGCAGCTCAACCAGTAACATACAATTAAATTATAACCTCTTTAAGCTTATACTCAATATTTCTGTAAATACAACCTAAAATCCTATTTGTACTACCATTAGCAATAGTACACTGCTTGGATAGCTTGGGAGATTAACTGAAACATTAATCTTTTTTCCTTTCTTAAAACTGTTAAGTTTATCCAAATCAAAATTATACTTAAGATCTAAATTATGATAACCTATATGCATTTATTATAATTAGAATTTATTCATTCTCCCAACTTACCAAAAATTTTAAATCCTTTTGTAAAGCAATAACATTCTCATTACAGCCAGCAACATTCAAAACCTTATCATCATCAGCAAATTTATGCAATTTACTGACCATTCCTTCATCTTTGTCAGTGATGTAAATCAAAAAGCACAAAAGTCCTTAGACTATTCCCTGAGGTACCCCTCTTGTGATATTAATCCAGTTTGACCGAACTCCATTTATAACAACACTCTGCTTTCTTCCATCCAACCATTTTTCGATCCAACAAGCCAACTTATACCCCACACCTATGCTTCTTTTAACAAGACTTTGCTGTAGTATCTTGGCAGATGCTTTATGAAAATATCCATACTCTTAACCTCATCTACACAAGCAACAACCTTTTCAAAGAATGTCAAAGGATTAGTAAGTCAAGATTTTCTACTGGTAAAACTATGCTGACTACTCAACAAAAATTTTAAAATTTCTCAAATGAATTTTCAAAGTATTATTTATCAATTTCAAAAACATTTTCTGACACTGATATAAAAATAACGGGCCAATATTTAACAACAGCCAACTTCCAATCTTCTGGCACCTGTCCACTATTCAAGGGCTTACAAAACAATACTGGCAAATGATACATATATCCAATTCTTAAAACTCTTAAACTTGGAAAAATATTAGCTAGTCCAGAAAACTTATCATTCTTTAAACTTTGCAATTTTTTCTTAAACTCAGAATTAAAGTGGTCATTTTGCTCAATATTGTTTCCATTTAGCAATTGGTCGTGATAAAGAACATTATATAAATCTTTATTGGTATAAAATGGTGAAAAGGTAGAATTTAGTAACCCAATTATCTCATAATCATCAGAAACAATTCCTTTATCATCCCTCAAAGGTCCTACCTCCAATCCTAATTTTTTGCTTACTCTTAATGTATTTAAAGAAATTACTATTAGTACTTTAACATTTTCAGACAAACTTTTTTCATATAACCTTGCCAATTGCATAATATACTGTTTGGCCAACTCTTTTGATCTTCTATAAACCTCATAAGTCTCCAATTATAGCAGTCAATTTGAACTTCTTAAATTTATTATGCTTTTCTTTAATTTTATCCCTTATATTCTTTATGAGCTAACCTTAGATCTTATTTCCATAAAGTCATTTTTTTCTATAACATTTCTATCTTGAATATTTAAAAACTTAATTCAAAAAATTTTTCACTTTTGATCAGCATCTCTAATTAATTAAGTTGCCCAATTCCCAAGATATAATTTTTACTGCATCCCTTCAAAATTGGCTTTTTGAAATTATAACAAAATCTCATTATTCCCAATTTTCATATGCAGTAAAATATCAAACCCAATTGAGAAATAATCACTTGCATCCAGATGTTCCTCAATCTCTAACCTCCCAGTTAGCAATAACTATGAAATCAGCATTCATCCCAGTAGATAATTCCCTGACCAATTGAAGAAAACCATCTGGAACATTTTCTAAAATGTAATGGTGAGATACTTGGCAGCCAGGAATGATCTTTCAACAACTAAATACATGACATCCTAAAAGGGGAAGAGTGATCATTGAATAAGTAGGTTGTTTGCTATATGTTGAGATAAGGAAGTACAATTTCTTGCATAATCAATAAGTAATCAATTACTTGCACTATCATGCTTACCAAACCTCATTTGAAGTTTATCGATAAATTCTTTCCATTAAATTCACTTTCCAATTCATTATTTGCTTTTGTGAAGACTTTAGATTGTTGTCTTCTTATAAGTTCCTAACATCAAGAAACATGCACTAAACATATGTTATGAAACTACAAGTATTGGACAGTTTATAGTCATCACAAAATCAAATAATGAACAGAAATTGTTAATAAAGGAAAGGCTATCAATAAATAGACTTCAACCAAAGTTAAATAAGCAGTAAAGTGCATTTATTTACTACTAATTTTTGAGAGATAGATAAATGAAGTTGTAGTTTCTAATATTTAAAAAGCCAACTTTTACATCATTATTGGATTGGGATAATGAGTAAATTATGACATGGGGCAGACTTGAAAAATTAAAAACAAATGCTTTTAATTGAAGATGGGCATTCTCCTAAAGACAAAAAATGGATAACAGAGAAAATCAATTCAAGTTTATCAAAAGTCCTTAAAGAATTTATGTAATCAATCATTACTTTCCCTTACTTAATTCCCCATCTGGAAGCCCACATTTCCAAAATCTAAGTGTAGAAACTTATTTTGAATGATCACTTATAATTAATATCCTTGCTAATTTTCATTAAAAAATGCCTTTGATCCATCCATCTTTGTCTTCTCCCCCCCCCCCAACAATACCGATATGAGGGTTCCAAATTGAAGAATTACAAAAAATCTTGATTTATATTAATTTGAACAGCTCCTAGCATGTTAATAGCAACAATACCAATTTTCAAATGAGAGTCCAAGTCAAATCTGAGAGTTCCTTAAACTGCACCATCTACTTTTGAGTCCACCATACATTCCTTCGGAAAAAAAAATGCCTCATTTATAATTTTATATTCTTATTCTGTAGATACTAGAGGTTAAGATCTTACTTTATGCAAAATTTAAAAATAAAGCCTTTTTGTGAAAAATGTGGGAGAAGTTCAATAATTAAGTATACATAAATACATACACACACTGTTGTTAATGTTAGTGCTACTGTTATAACTTATACTATAGTGTTAACGATTAAGTACAATTAAAAATTACTCTATTATACAAACAAATCTTTGTAAGCCTCTGCAAGTTACTGAGAGTAATACATTAATATTAATAGTACTTATTTCTCTTAAGTTAAGAGTATGGCACAGCGATTGTTTTTGTTTTAAACTTAACGGTTAAGCAGTAAAAAACTTAATGTTCTTAACACTATTATTATTACATACTAGCACTAAACTATAAAACAGTTTAACTTTAAGATTTAATTAATCGAGCTATCTACCTCGGATCCCATAATGTTGAATTTTACTGTTACTAATGGAAATAATTTCCCTAGCAAATTAACTTATACTTCTTACACAATGGGACAGAACTACTTCCCACTTTCGTTGAACTTCAGTCATAAGTCCAAAGGTAACTGAGTTCGTGTTTGAGTTTAACTGAACTCCACATGGGGGTGCTGTAAGATACATATCATTCAAAACACTAAGCTAAATCGTTCCGTTGTTAATGGCATATTTTGGCTGTTAGTGCATATAAAGGGCTAAAATGGGCAGCAATCAGCGTCTGTTGAACTAACAACATACGCGTTCTCTTTGTTTTAAGGTGTTGTTTTCTCAAGAACCGTGAACGTTTTCAGTTAAAATCGAATGGTATTACCTGGTGAATAGATATACAACCGAGCAAGCAGGCCCGATAACTGGAGGATCGACAAACAAGTTATAGAATGTGTTTCTATTTACCTCTGAACTCTGACTGAGTTCCTCATGAAGGAGGGTCAACATGCAGATATGTACCAAGACTATCTTTGTTGACACAATCAAAATCATAAACACGTCCAAGGCACTAAAACAAAACAAGGGCAATTGTATCTGTATGAGTGTTTTAGATTAGAGAGAGAGAGAAGGAAAGTGAAATCTTATTAATGAGTTCCGTAAATTCAACCACAAGACCGAAATATTTAGGTAAAACTCAAGCTGAAATATAAAACAAACCAAAGTCGATCTCGATCACACTGCCAGTTACAGCAAAATCTAAAATGAAAACAAGGTTTAAATGATAATGAATCCAAGCAAAGTAGGTGTACATCCAGCAAGTGGTGATGGAATTAAAATCCATTAAATTCACAGATAAGCAACTAAAAACACCATCTTGAAATTGCAGGATTACCAGATTAAGTAGTATTGAAACTTCCACTGACAAGATTTTAGAAGAACTAAAAGTATTAGTTATACAACTAGTTTCACAGAGTAGACGAATGATCAAAATGAGCTTCAGGTGTAACCTGAAAGGACATTTTGCCAAGAATTGCAGACAAAACCTTGTAGAAATACTAAGAAGAGATTACTATTATAGCCATTACAGCCGAGACTGTGAGAAATCAACAGTTTTTATTAGGCCATGGAGATAGAGCCAAACTAGACCAAAGGAACAACACAGAGCTAATGAAACATCAACAAAACAGGAAGAAATTTAAATTATGAATACTAAAATAAGTTCATCATTTGAAAGAAAAAAAAACGTTCAAGAATCCATGGCTACAAGCAGTCATCCCGATTTGTTTAATGAAAGAGAGGAACTTGCCTCCAGAGATGAAAAAGGAAGAGTGGTTAATTGAAAACAACAGGAGGACATAATGCTCCAGCAAAAAAAGAAAGAAGTTGAAAGTTATTCTTATTGTAGAAAGGTTCTTTGTGCTTCATGGTGTGTGGGTAATTGGTATCAATGAAGAGAGCCTTTTAGGAACTGATTTCATGCAGAGACATGGATATGGTCAGGCTAGCTTCAGATAGCTTCAAAGTCTATGAACAGGAAATCCAGGTGCATTATATGGCAATTACTACACAAATGTTGAACATCTGGAAGAAATAAAGAAGATGTTCATTGTACCAACAACAAGTGAAATATTAATATCAGAAGTTAATAGTAATAATTCTTCATCTAATGACTGGGGCAAAGTTGAACCAAATACTCCAGCATGTCATGAGAGATTGATGGTTGAAAAAGCCTCCTAGCTGTGAAGACTAAAAATGCTGCACATAATTTACCCAAGAAAGACTGAAATCAGCTTATGATAAATAATGGGTGGTTATGCTGTAAATGCTGACAGAACTGGATTCCATGTAGAGAATATGATATGGCTCTATAGTTCTCGTTATGAGAGAGGACAAACTCCAAAATTAAGTAGGTATTTAGAGAAAAGATGATCCAAACCAAAGGCTATTCATCATTATTGTCTTTGGAAGTACATTGGTGAGAAAGTAACCAACTAGACAATTTCAGAGAAGAACTTGTTAGCAGAGATTCAACCTGACAAGACACTATCCCATTTATATACTGTTGCGTCATCGAGATCACGTGACTATTCTCACGCCCTCTACTTTCTAGAACTATCCTGTACTTT